ATCCCTCCTCCCTTCCCGTCATTTCCCTTTATCTAATCCAATGAACTTCTGTTCCTCCCTCCACCCCCTTATTGTGTGTTAGCATCTTCATATCAGAGAGAACATTTGGCCTTTGTTTTTTTGGGATTGCTTATTTCACTTAGCATGATGGTCTCCAGTTCCATCCATTTACCAGCAAATGTCATAATTTCATTCTTATTTATGGATGAGTAATATTTCAGTGTGTGTGTGTGTGTGTGTGTGTGTGTGTGTGTGTATAAAACATTTTCATTATCCATTCATCTGTTGAAGGGTATCTACATTGGTTCCACAGTTTAGCTATTGTGAATTGTGCTGCTATAAACATTGATGTGGCTGTGTCTCTATAGTATGCTATTTTTANTGTGTGTGTGTGTGTGTGTGTGTGTGTGTGTGTGTATAAAACATTTTCATTATCCATTCATCTGTTGAAGGGCACCTGTGTTGGTTACATAGCTTTGTTATTATGAATTGAGCTCCTATAAACATTAATGTGGCTGCATCACCCTGGTATGCTGATTTTAAGTCCTTTAGGTATATGCTGAGGAATGAAATAACTGGGTCAAATGGTGGTTTCATTCCAAGTTTTCTGAGGAATCTCCCTACTACTTTCCAAAATGGTTGCATCAATTTGCAATCCCACTAGCAATGTATGAATATATCTTTTTCCCCGCATCCTCACCAATATTTATTGTTACTTGTAATCTTGATAATTGCCATTCTGACTRGAGTGAGATAAATCTCAGTGTAGTTTTAATTTGCATTTCTTTAACTGCTAGAGATGTTGAACATTTTTATATATATTTGTTGGTCATTTGTATTTTTTTCTTCTGAGAAATGCCTGTTTAGTTCCTTTGCCCATTTATTGTTTGGGGTTTTTTGGTTTGGGTTTTAGTTTTTTGGGTGTTAAGTTTTTTTTTTAGTTCTTTGTATATCCTGGAGATTAATTCTCTGAGGTGCAGATGGCAAAGATCTTCTCCCATTCTGTAGGCTCTCTCTTTATGCTCTTGATCATTTCCTTTGTTGTGAAGAAGCTTTTTGGTTTGAGACCATCCCATTTATTGATTCTTGATTTTACAAGTCTTGCTGAGGAAGTCAATTCCTAAGTCAACATGATGGATAGTTGCTCCTACATTTTCTTCCAGTTAAGTTCAGGATCTCTAATCTAATGCCTATGTCCTTGATCCACTTGGAGTTTAATGTTGTGCAGGGTGAGAGATAGGAGTTCACTTTCATTCCATTACATATGGATTTCTGGTTTTGCCAGCACCATTTGTTGAAGAGGCTATCTTTTCTCCAATGTATGCTTATGTCACTTTTGTCTAACAGGAGATAACTGTGTGTGTATTGGTTTGCCTCTGTGTCTTCTKTTCTCTTCCGTTGGTCTTAGGTCTGTTTTGGTGCCAATGCCATGCTGGTTATATTACTATAGCCCTGTAGTATCATTTGAGGTCTAGTATTGTGATGCTTCCTACTTCACTTTTCTCACTAAGGATTGCTTTGGCTATTCTGGATCTCTTATTTGTCCCCAGGTGAATTTCATGATTGCTTTTTCTATTTCTATGAAGAATATTATTGGAATTTTAATAGAAATTGCATTAAATCTATTTAGCTCTTTTGGTCGTATGGCCATTTTGACAATATTAATTCTGCCTATCCAAGAACATGGGAGATCTTTCCATTTTCTAAGGTCTTCTTCAATTTCTTTCTTTAGTGTTCTATCGTTTTCATTATAGACGTCTTTCACCTCTTTTGTTAGATTTATTCCCTTTTTTTTGAGGCTATTGTGAATGGGATAGTTTTCCTAATTTCTCTTTCAGCTGATTCATCATTGGTATATAGGAACACAACTGATATGTGGATATTAATTTTATATCCTGCTTCTTTGCTGAATTCATTTTTGAGCTCTAGAATCTTTCTGAATACCTTGATTTTAAACCAGCAAGATCTGAGACTTCTGATCTCTAGAATTATTATCTCCATGTAAGATAATAAATCAATTTTGTTTTGAGCCACTAAGTTTGTGGCAATTTTTTTAAGCAGGGAAAAAATAGAGAAGATAGTGTCTCAAAGGTCACTGAGCTATCCAATGTATCTCATTAGCATATTATAACTCAGAATACAGGCTCAGAATCCCTGCTCCAAAAATCTGAAATCCGAAATGCTATGCAGAATCAAAAACTTTTTGTGAATCAATATGATGCCACAAGTGGAAACTTTTATACCTGATCTCATGTGATGGGTATAAGTCAAAACCAGGTATACTCAAAATATTGAATAAAATTACCTTCAGGCTGTGTGAATGAGGAGTATGGGAAACAAATGAATTTTATGTTTTGACTTGGATCCAATATCTAAGATGTCTCGTGATTTATATGCAACTATTCCAAAATYCCAAACAATCAGGAATCTGAACTACTTCTGGTTCTAGCAGTCTGGATAGGGATACTCACCCTGTTAGGCACAGGAACCGAGTCACTTGGACAGAAAGGGAGGAGATTCCATTCTAACCCCTTCAGAGTGATGGGAAAGACAGCCCAAATTAGAGAACTGTTAACTATGCCTTCCTAAAGAATTACAGTTTCATGGCTCTTAAGAAGAAATCAAACTTGAAATCAAACTTGCTAACTCAAACTTGTCTGTCTTTTATCTCTCCAAACTAAAATGTTGCACCCATTTAACAGAAAACCCTCCTCACCCCACCCAGCCCCTGGCACCCACCATTCTTTCTACTTTTTCTCTCTCCAGGTTCCTTTAATGGGTGGAATCATGTGGTATTTGTCTTTTGGTCACATCATATTTGTGTGGGTGGAATCGTGTCATTTGGCTTATTTCCCTTAGCATACCATCTTCAAAGTCTGCCCGTGCCGTAGCCGGCATCAACATTCCCTTCCTTCCTTCCACTTTCCCCTTGGACTCTCTTTCCCCTCGGATGTGATTATCCAAGTCACTGATGGGGCAGAAGGTATAGGAGGTATCCAAGGGAGGGCTGCTAAGCCTCGCCCAGCAATTCCTCCATCACCCTGTGTGTCCCAGATGGGACCTGCCCGTGACAGGGAATCACTGCCCACATTCACTACAGCACAGGCCCTGGCCATGTGCCCAGCCATGGAAGTGCATCCTGTGACCAGTGGTGTGCACTCCCAGGGCAGGTGACATTCCCATGGGTAGGACATAAAGGTCCTACTTCTAAGGCTTATCCTAGGAAGCACAGTACATGCAAATGACAGGAGCAAATTCAAAGCTTCTTTTGCACTTAAGAGTCAACACAATAACACCCAAGTCTCGCCTTGAAGCCTGATGTTTATATTCTCAAAATTCAACACAAACGTGTAAGACAAAAGTGATCTGACTGGGGAGGTGGGGGGGTGGTTATGAGATGCAAAAGTAAGTAGTCAGGTGGGGATAGAGGTAACAGGGGTAACCTGGCTGCTTAGAAACAGAAATAGGGCAAAGGTGGGTGGCATTGATAAAGACAGCATCTCCATTTAAAGAGGTCACCTCCTCTCCTGGTGCTATCAGACCAAACCTGGGCCATTCTGTTCATTTTAAAACAGCAGCAACTGATTAGAAAATTACAATTAGGATGGAGAAATCAAGAATCCATCTTAATCTGAAAACCAGAACAAGGAGAAAGGTGTAGGAGTCACTTCAATTCTTTTTGTGTTGACATGAGAGACTCGCGTGCTGCCCTGGGAGTTCACCATCGCCTACCTGGGAGATAATGGCAGCAATCCTCACTAAAGGTCTGGGGCTGATGTGTGCCACATGCAGTTTATGGCACTATGTCACTTGCGCTCACCACCACACCCCTCGGTAGGCTGTTGTCTCTGTCCCTCCCACTTACTGGTGGGTCCGAGGAACTTCAAGAGCCGGAACTGGAGAGGAAGGGCCAATTGGCACCACCCAGTGCCCACCCAAAGGCCCTGGGAGATGCTCAGCTGTTTCTAAGGGGTACAGTGGCACAGTGTGATGGCATGGCATGATCAGGTTTTGTTTCTGGTGGAACCAGGGCTACTTTTTCTGATGAAGAGGAATGGAATGAATACCTGTCCATCTCGCCATCTGTGGTTCYAGGCACTCTTGCCAAGTGCTGAGCTCCCAGGAGCTAGAAGTATTTGAGGAAGGACTAGAGAGTGGGCAAAGCTTAACAGCTCATCAGAGGACCAAGAAGGAGAGACATTCCCAAACTGGTCAGTTTTTCAACACCCTGAAGCTGACAGAGGTATAGACCCCAGATCATTGAAGCATTGGGCAGATAGATGAAGTTTTAGAAGAATGCTTTAAAGTGCTGACCTCAGTAGTCACCTTCCCTATGGCCTCAAGATGGCATCCTCAAAGACCCACTTTGGAGGTTCCACAGTCCCTAAGGCAGTGAGAACCTTGTTCTGGTGGATTCATGCAGAGAGACTGAAAAGACCTTTGTCAAAGATTGTATCAGTTAGCAAGTACTGCAGTAACAAACATTCCCAATATCTCAGTGTCTTAGAATAGTGACCTGTTGTCATGGCAGAGGGCAAGAAACAGAATCAGAGCCAAACTTAATGACTACATTCAAAGCAGGAGCTTTGTGGCCAGTACTTGCCCACTCACACCCCATTGAATAAAACATGTTCCATGGTCCTTCTGGAAGGCTCTCCATGGTGTGGGGGGAGATAGCCTCTCTCCCCTATTACACACCCCCTGTTTTAGTCAGCTTCTCACTGCTATGACTGAAGGACCTGACCAGAACAATTGAGAAGCAGGAAAGGTTTATTCAAGGGCTCACAGTTTCAGAGGTCTTAGGCCAGAGAAGGCCAGCTCCATTCTTGGAGCTCAAGGTGAGGCAGAACATCTATCAGGGGATTAATTCACTGATTGGGTTAAGACTCTCACAACCCAAGCATTTCTCCTCTGAACCTTCTTGCACTGTCTCTCGTGAGTTTTCKGGGGACACCTCACATCCAAACCATAACACTCCCTGTCTTTTCTCCCCTGCTCAGGTGGGTGGCAGGCCCATGGAGCCCCTGCTCAGCCACCTGTGAGAAGGGCATCCAGCATCGGGAGGTGACCTGTGTGTACCAGCTACAGAATGGCACACATGTCACCACACGGCCCCTCTACTGCCCAAGCCCCCGACCAACACCAGTGCAGAGCTGCGAAGGCCAGGACTGCCTGTCCATCTGGGAGGCATCAGAGTGGTCACAGGTGAGTGGCTACACTTGTGGCTGGGACTGAAACCACCACAAGAGCCCCCAGCCCTCGTCCACAGGATGTAGTGTGGTACTTTTCTCTTCATGGTGTTTGTGATACATCTCCATGTGTCATGGTCTTTATCTGCTCCAGAGGAGCTCAAAGCTGTGTTCTGGCCCATATATTCTTAAATTCCATTTGAGATAACAACATGGCTTAAAGAAAACATGGATAACATGTTTGTGATGATGCACATGGCATCACAGTGAAAGTACTATTCGTTTCATTTCTTATGACAATTCCCACCTAAAGATAAATAAATAGACACACACACACACACACACACACACACACACACACACACACACCAATTGACCTTTTAATTCTCCTTTGGGAGTGTTTGAGCTCTAGTGTGGTCAAGTTGGGAAGCTGGTTTCAAAGACTTTCCTTTCATGCCACAGCAGTTTTGTAGATTGTGAGAGTTAGATGCTGGGAGGGACAGCTTTTGGTATGCAAGTTGGAGTTACAAATCTCACGCCATAAAACATTTTGGAAAGAGGTCAATTAAGCCTTAAGTTTTCACTTTGAAAGTTGGTCCTGGAAATTCCATTTTATCTTGAAGGGTGTCATCTTCCAAAGCTTTGCATTGACTTTGCCTTAATGCTTTTGATTGTTTGGCTGTAAAACAAACAAAAAAATAGCTAAATAAAGGGCAACCTTCCCTCAGGTCTTTCCACCAAAAGTGGTCTATGAAAATTCAAAGAGGCTAGATCCAAGACAGTCTTCAGTGTGGAAAATATTTTTAAAGTTCCTTTGATTGCCAAACAGTCGGAATTTATTTTGAATAAAAAAGTGTTCAGCCCATTTTTAATGAAGGAGAAGTCTACCATTGGCTGCTCTAAAACTGAGTTTAATCTTCAGACCAATCTTGAAATATACTCATTTAAAGACCTTTTCCCTTAACCCGTACTTTATAATATTTCAGGAAAAAGAGCTTAATTTTTTTTCTTTATATATACTTAGGTTTGTAAAGTTAACATCAAGAAAAATTTTCTTTGTTGGCCCTATTGGGGATTATATTCTACCACTGAGCTACATTCCCAACCCTTTTCAGAATTCTGAGATAGGATCTTGCTAAGTTGCCCAGGTTGGCCTCAAACTTGCAATCCTCCTGCCTCAGCCTCTCAAGCAGCTAGGATTATAGGTGTGAGCCACCATGCCTGGCTGGAATTTTTTTTTTTTCATATTTGCTGCCAGGATGGAGACAGGCACACAGCCACAGTTCCTTTCCCCAACCCCAGATGAGCCTTAGGGCTTTGACCTCCCAGCTCTTAATTCAAGCAAGATTTATGCTTTAATCTGATTGATAAGAGTCTGAATGGAAGATTTATTTTAATCTTATGTGGGGAAAAAGGCCTCTTTACCAAAAGAACCAAGCCTGGRGTTATCAGTTATTAAAGCACTGAAGACCACCATATCTGGGAAAGGTGAGACCACTAGAGCAAGGCTTAAAGGAATTTCTTTATGATCATCTCTACATTAATGCCCCATCCTAATCCTGCACTAGTATCTRCATCCATCCATCTCATTCTGGCCCAGCCCCATGCAAGCAAAATGCTGCTTTCTTAACATGTGACGTGGAATCACATCCTGCCTCCACAAGTTCCTTATGAAGCTGGTATTTCTGCCCCTTCACTGTGGGCTGAAGCCCCTCCAGCCCTGGCCAGAAGCTGGCTTTCATTTCTTGTGGGAGAGTTTTTATTGACATGATGGCTCTTATTCAACCAGCTTCATTGATCACCCTTACTAAATACTCCCTCCCCCAGCTCCTTCCCATCTTCATCTGGAGAATCAGATTTGCAGAAGGATGCCAAAGGTAATAAATGGATTCCTCCTATCCTCAGTTTCTAGGCTCAATCCTCAATGGGAAGCAGAAAGAGAGGCTGAGCTTCCCCTCCTAGGTCCCTTGAGAGGTGGCATCTGCCCACGGCACTGTCCTTCCACCAGGCCAGAGGCCCCCAGGGAGTGGGGTATTAGTCAGACTAAGGGGCCAAAGCCAGGTTTGCTAGAGAAATTTATTTGGACACTCAGTGCTTGAAATTCAAGGTAAAGGGGCAAGAAACACAGAACAGAGTAAGAAGCTGCAGGACTGAAGGGGCAGGAATGGTGAGTGGCCTATTAGTTGCCAAGAAGCAAGTCATGTAGACTCTGAGGTCAGGGGAGTCCATGTGTCAAATGGTGGGGACAGAGTTGCTGAAATAATCAGAAAACATTGTCACACAGAGAAGCAGGGGCTAGTCCTTCGCTGCAGTGGCCCAGGGCTCCCTGAGGCAGCCCTCCTGGCCCAGGTGGTCCTGTGTGCAAAACCTGCCATGGACTGGCTCCTTGCACCAGAGGTCCCTTTAAACCAGTGCTTCTCCCCAACACCAATCCAAGTGTGTGTGTTTCTGCCAGCTCCCCCAGGTGACAGCCCAGCCAGTTCTGAAGCTTGTATATTCTTTCTAAAACAAGCCAGTCTAAATTACTCTCAAAACCCATGGCAGCTTCAGAGAGAGAGAGAGAGAGAGAGAGAGAGCGAGAGCGAGCGCTATATTAAATTCATAACAAAAAGGTAGGTAATATTGTAGAATAAATACTAATAACAGAAATATCAAGAATAATGTTTGCTCTTCATGTACTTTTATTTTAGCAATGGAACTTTTTAAAAGTTGTCGCTTAAGAAAGGTGCTGCAGTAGCCTTGGCAAACTGAACAAGTATGAAGTTTCTTTAGCAGAATCCAGCCTGTAGCCCACCATCTCCCTCAGTTAGGTGTCTGCATTCATGGTGGGGACAGGGCTTTTCAGGGAGACTACGCACTGGTCCACATACAGAAAATCGGCAGGGTAGCTCCCTGGCCTGCAGACTATGTCCCCTCTGCTTGCCGACCACTCATCGCACTTGGCAGTTATGTCTCCCCAAGGTGACAGGTCAACTCTGCTGGGACTTCTTCCACTTTATTTGTGGAGAGCCATAAGTGCTATTGCCAGCCAGTGCACCACCCTGCCCCACAGAGGAGCATGCCAGGAGCAGGCTGCAGGCTCATCCCAGAGCTGCCCACCCTCCACACCCTGACATCTTGTCCTCACTCCTTTCTGCTGGAGGAAATGGGGGCAGTCTTGAACTGAAGGCTTGCATATCACCCATCACCCTCAGACCCTCCCAAACTGTCTCCCAAGAAGTAAGCAAGCTACTTCCAGGAACACTCTTGTGTGACCACATTTGGTGTCCTCTCTTAAATATCCATTAGAACTGTCAGCAAGGGACACCTGTTTACAAAAAAGTCACCTATGGCTTTTCTTGTCTGTCTCCTACTTCTCTTTCCTGCGTCAGGGTCTTTGCCATGTGTAGCAGGAGCCGGTGGCCTTGGACCTCATGCTGCCAGGGCCTCACCTTGCTCCTGCTGGCTTGTCTCCTGCTCRTCCTCTGAGCCTGCGCACATTTGCCCTCTGAGCTCACACAATGCCTTKGTCTTTGGGAGCTGATGACTGGCCACTAAATTCCATTCCCCTCATTTGACCTTCTGGGCACCCCAAGTTCTTGCAATTTCTGATTCCTGTGCCTCTCCCCCATCATCAGCCACCCAGCTGGGGTCCCAACCGGGACTAGGTGCCTAAGACTGAAGACCCTGTACTTTTTGAGGATAGAAACAGCATCTTCATCTTTGTGTCCCCACTCCAGGTCTGGCACAGAGTAGGGACTTCATAGATGTTGATGGACTTAAACTGAATTGGTCTGGATTAAATGTTCGCATGGTATCTTGCAGTGCTCTGCCAACTGTGGTAAAGGGACGCGGAAGCGAACGGTGACGTGCACCAACTCACAAGGGAAATGCGATGCATCCACAAGGCCAAAAGCCGAGGAGGCGTGTGAGGACTACTCAGGCTGCTATGAGTGGAAGACGGGGGACTGGTCTAAGGTGAGGACGCCGCTCTGACATTCCCCTCCTGCTGCCACAGTCCAGGGGGCTCCAGTCAGGAGCTCAGTGTCCCATTGGGTCCAGTTCTACAGGGGTCCCAATCTAACCATGCAGATTCCCAACTCTGCACCTGCCAGTGGCCCTGTGTGCATCCTGCCTGCTGCTCCTGCARGTGGATCAGCTCTCTGTGCTGGCTGGGAGCACCCACTGCTTTGTGAGCCTTTGGAAGGAAAATGAATACAGCAAAATGGGGGTGCTCTGTCACCAGCCTGGCCGCCCTTTTCAGCATTCTGGCTGTGCCCCAGCATCCTGCTACGGGCCTGGCCTCACAGCCTTCTGTCACAAGAGCCTTATAAATGTGTGGGAGGCTGGGTCGAAGCAGACACATAGGGGATACTTGGGCAAATGTCACTTCATTCATTTCCAGGACCTTTGGGCAACAGCCTATAGGACACCAGGGCAGATAGGACAGGGGACAAGGAGGGTTCAACAGAGATTGAATGTTTTTCTGAGTGAAAAAGTCTTTGGTGTTGAACCCTTCATTTATTCATTCCCCTGGTATCTTTGAATGACTCCCATTTACTGGAGACTGATGTCAGCATCAGAACCTTCCAGTAGGTTTTCTTTTCACAGCAACCATACGATGTCTAAGGCGAGCTCAGAATCTATTTATTCTTTTTAAATATTTCCTTGTGGTCTTAGCAACTGAAAAATATCTACTTGCTTCCCCGGGTCCCTCTTCATTCAAAGGTGGCTGACTGGTGACTGAAGAAGCTGTTGGTATTTGTTTGGCATGTGTAATATCGTCACCATTTTAGTACAAAATGTAAAATTTCGGTATGAAAATCTGGCAACAGGGCCCCCAGTCAGTTGTGGAAGGGAGAATGGTTTGTTCATGGTGAAGCAAAACTTGTCAGAATCCAATCCCTTGTAGAAATGCCACCACCTCCCTGCCCAACACAAGTCAGAAAACAAAGGCCTCCAAACACTTCAAGTGCAAAAAAAATAAAGTCAAATATCTTAGGTCCCAGTTTACCTGCTGTGCTAAAATGTCACCTCTAGATAACTGAATTTGGAGACCCAAAACACCTGCTTCTTATTTATTCCCTGTTCAAAAGACCTGACCAAGCAATAGAATCAAGGCCAACAGTCTAGCTTCCCCAAAACAAACACAGATGTCACACAGCGACATGGATGTAGATAGTGCTCATTAGGAAGCTTCCAGAACGAATCTGACGCTGGAGGAAAAACTTGACTCCAAGGCGTTCACAAAAGATACATGTGCTCTGGGCCATGAGAACCAGAGTCATGGGATAGAGACATTGAGATCTGGCATGTAACTCTGTTCCACTTGAACTTCATAACATCCCTGACCCTCAGTATCTTTATCTCCAAGATGGAATTCATGAAGCCTGGTTCTGCCTGTTTCTCAGAGGTATTCAGAAGTTCCAGGGTGCTGGGATAAGTGACTAAGCCCTTTCCTAACTAAGCTCATTTCCCTACCTCGAATCTCATCCAGTGTTCACACTGCTGTGGGCACAGTTCCCAGAACTAACCTGTTTTGATCTGACTCCAGTTTGTCTTGATTCCTTTTATAGAATGATCCTGAGAAATGTTCTCTATCCAAGCACATCTGGACCCAGCTTGAATCAAAGGGGCAAATGAAAACTGGTCAATTCCTAGCCTGGGCCACAAATGCCCATCCTGGGTTGGGGTATTTGGCATTTGTTTCCTCTGTGCCTCATGCTACCATTCCTTTCCAGCCAGGGTTGTCACTCCTGTTGTACAGAAGAGGAAACAGAGGCTCAGAGTGGCTAAACCACTTGCCCGCACTCCTCTGGCAGAGCCCCTGTTCCTGGATCCCTACTCAGTGCTCAAAACACATGTTAGAAACAGAACAAGAAGGGCTCTGGGAGTCCCAGGGTTGGTGCCTCTGAGCCTCGGGGAGCCCTGCAGATGGTTGTCGACCAGCCAGTGTCTGGGCTTCTCCAGCTGAACCCCTCTGGTTTTGAGGACTAGGGAGACACTTGTTTTCTTAAGTACTTTGAACATCCTGGTGTAAGCAGCAGCCAGACACCAGAGGGTGAATGGAAATAGCACATGCAAAGCRCAGCACAGTCTGCTGGGAGCTCATGCTCTGCAGGGCTCCCTCCCAGTTGTGCTCTGCGTTAAGAACAAGGAGGAGCCATAGGATGTCAAGACCTCCCCCACATCTTGGCCACTTAGATGGGGCTGTCATCCGATGGGCTGGGCGTGTGCTGAGCACGGTGTGTGTGTGCGTGGAAGCCAGCTGTTCCATCCCAGCCAGCAGCAGGTCTGGCCAGAGCAGCGGCTCAGTTTAGAGTGGTGCTGTTGAGCAGCCACCCAGCGCCAGCACTCAGGGAGGGAAACTTGGTTCTGCTGTGCAGAAGAGAACTGCAAGGGATGCGCGGCTGGAAGTCTGTGTGTGTGGTATGCAGGGAGCGAGCTGTCAGGGGTGGGGGCATAGAAGCCCACCAAGAGACCCCAACTGTCCACCCCACMCCCCTCCCTTCTGCTGCCATCACTAGGGTGGGGTGGGGAGTTTGCCCTCGGTCTTTCTCTCCGTTTCTTCTCTGGAGAAAAGACTTTAGCTCCCTGAGGGGCCCCGGATCCTCACTCCCCTTGGCTGTGGAGGCCAGTAGGAGCAGATTCCATGGGATGCATCTTGCCCTGGCGTTTTTGCTCATTTGGACTGTTTGGATCTGCTCTCAGGTTTCTGGTCATCTCTGCTGTCCAGTTTTGCCGATGGTGTCACTGTTGTGCTCATGGGGTCCTCTGTGTTTGTAAACAATCGCCACAGACCAACATCCAAACCTCCATTCATACCAGACTCTGAAGACAGCTAACGCACTCCCTAAAAGGAAAGTAGATAGAAGGCCAGGGCTCAGAGCCATCAGTTGTCCTTGAATCTGGAGAATGTTTACCCCGTCCTCATGGCCAGGAGGAAACCAGGTCAAGCAGCCAGTGCAGAAAGTGTTGGGCCAGACAGGTACCCAGCAGACTGTGCCGTGATGGAGGGAGCTTAGTAGGTCTGCTTTCCAGCCAGGGAAGCTTTGACACCTCCCATCCAAGCACCCTCTTGTCACTTTGCCCCATAGTGCTATTGAGAAAGATGAGCTGGTTTCCGGGAGGTGATGTGCAGGCCAGTCCAGGCCCATGCATGGGTGAGAGCTACCTGGGTGAGAGCTTTTGGGAACAGCAGAGCTCCTCAGTGCCCAGAGCCATGGTGAGGCAGGGTAGGCTCCCAGGGACTATGTGGCTCCCTCCCTGGTGTCCTGAGCACAGCTAATAGTCAGACCCTAACTAGTGGCCCATAGGAGGGTGGGTCACACTTCATATTCTCACGCCTGCTGAGGGCATTACAATTGTTCTGGGTGTTTGGAAAATGACCTGCAGCTGCCTGCCCTCCAAGGATGTTAGCACTTTTCAGAAAACAATGCAAATCCTTGTTTGCAGCCACTGAATGGGTCTATGTATTCTACCCGGGTGGTGGTTGGGAGTTAAACTGAAAGAGGAGGAAAATTCATTTCTTTCTAGAAGAGCGTGACTTCTAATCAAAAGTCGAAATGTCTCAGATCTAAGACCAGAAACATTTGTCACCATTGGATTGATGAGATTTTTTTTCCCCATGAGAAATAAACTCTTCCAGAGGAATTATAATGGGATGATGTTTTTAACGAAAATTGATGATTCTCTATGTTAAGAATTTGTGCTTGCCGGTGTGAACAGATCAAAATGGCCATTGATCTCCTGGTGTCAGTGGAGGTCTGGGGAAGGGGCTGGTCTGACAAGCCCTCTGAGGCCTCATCTGACTCCAGCTTCCTTCTCTCTGTAAGTCAGAGATGACAGTAACTCCCAGAGGCCTGAGAAGATCAAATGACCCAATGTGTGTGCAAGTACCTGTGAGCCCTGAGAGGTAGTCAGGGAGGGCTGATCCCTCTTCAAGCTCACAGAAATGTTGTTACAGTCTGTGATGTTTGCCATGGCTTTAGAATTTACTAAGCACTTTCACCCATATGATCCACTTGACCCTCACAACTGCCTCTTGCCATTTGGAAATGAGGAAACTGAGGCTCAGAGTGGTGATGTGGCTTTTTCCCCCAGGRTCACACAACTAAAAAGTGACGTGCCTTCTGGTTTGTCATTCAGTTTTCTTTCAATGCACAATGTCAGAAGGTTATCTTAATTTGAAGCAAGAAACTGAACAATAAGATGGCTTCAGCTCTATCAAAGGCAGAGACTCAGCATAAAATCAAGTATCTCCCCAGTCTCCACACCACCCATCCAGACCTACCCCAAAGGCTTTATATCAGTCATGTGTCCTTTAGCACAATTGTTGTTTCTATATGAGGAGATCCTGCACATTAAGTCTTCCCTTAATCACGAAATTAAAAGTCAAATCCTTATTAAAGGAAATTGGTACATCCAAGAGCAAGTCAGGACGCTGGGGCCCTCTTCTGGGATGTGGCAAACCATACCATGGAGCCAGGAAGCCAGCCCTCTGCACTGGGACAGAAATAAGGAAATCCTCGGTGAGATAGAGTACCCGTGGGAGCATGAGCAGCTAGTGGGAGAAGGATTATCAAAATTCAGTGCTCTACGGACGGGGCAGGAGGTGAGAGGACAGGTACCTTTGGTGTGGAATACACATGAGCAAACAGAGCCTTCCACGGTGTTAGGGAAAAGCTGAAGCCCCAGTCACTGCTCAGTGAAGAGAAGTGAGCTTGCTACAGAGTGGTGACGTCTCCAACAGTTGCCAGGAGATGTGCTGGCATGGCCCAAGGTGGGTGCCAAGGCTCTCTGCAGAGCTTAAGGTAGATGCCTTTGTCTCCTCGGCCCCCCAGCTCCATGTCCCCAGTGTCCATCCGACCAGATCAGAGTGGGCTCCAGCTTATCCTGACTCTTCTGCACCACAGTCTAGATTCTCATTAGAGCCTGGACCTGGCCGTTGTCCCTGAAGAACACTTCTCTTGTGCCAC